TTATTTGAAATCTTGCTGATTTTCTTTATGTTTTGTTTTCCAAAGTCCAGAAAACTTTTCTTCTGAGCTATTTTTAACTTACAAGATAGATAAAATGAACTTTTATGAATAAAAATCTGAAGGATTTATCTTTCTCTTTACCTGATTTCTCCAGAATTTAGAAGTCATTTGTGAGTATTCTTAATTTATGGCAACATAATTGTTTGCATAAATAAATTCAATAAGAATCTGCTTTCTTTTGTAACAGGACACAATTGGAGATATTGATTATTTTACCAAGGTTTTGACTAGAATGACATATTTTTAGATACAGTCAAACTGCTTTGAGAAAATGAGTTTGACTGCAAAGAGCCAATAAAAAGACCCTTAGGAAGACTGGCATGGTATTTTTTTTTAAAGGTTTTCTTACAATGTTTCTATCTTTGTGGTAGGTAAAGATTGTCACTTTCTGACAGCCTCAGGAACCTCAAGATATTTTAGGACCTAACAAAAAAAGAGAGAAAGAGAGAGAGAATACACCTATCCATACAGGTACTACAGGCACAATCTGAGAGCAGATCCTTGGGATGGCTACCCTCAAGGCTATAAAAAGTTTGAGATTGTTTATTTTAAAAGTTACAGCAGGCAGGGTGTGGTGGCTCAGGTCTTATAATCCTAGCATTTTGGGAGGCCAAGGAGAGAGAACTGCTTGAGTGCAGGAATTCAAGACCAGCCAAGGCAACACAGCAAGAGCTCATCTCTACAAAAAATCCAAAACTTAGCTGGACATGGTGGCATACGCCTGTAGTCCCAGCTACTTGGGAGGCTGAGCAGAAAGATCACCTGAGCCTAGGAGGTCAAGGCTGCAGTGAACCATGATTATGCCACTACATTCCAGCCTGGGTGACAGAGTGAGACTCCAACTCAACACAAATAAAAAATAAATAGTTCCACCAAAGCCATTTTTTAAAAGGACCTATATGGCCAATTACTATTATGCTACACTTTATGCAAATAATCAGGCCAGATGTAATAAGACTAAAAGTTATTGTACACACAAATTGGTCCTACTATAATTTGTCCCTGATAGAAATGGGAGACTGGAGAGGGAAAAAAATGTTTCAAAAGAAAACTATAACACATCTGTCACTAGAATCCAACCCTGACCATTGTTTTTGATTTTTATTATTTGCCTATAATTTGGACTGAAACCTGAATTATTTCCTGGCTCCAACAAATATCTCTTAATTAATCTAGATATATTTGAAAACTATTTTTCTGGCCAGGCATGGAGGCTCATGCCTATAATCCCAGCACTTTGAGAGGCCGAGGTGGGAGGATAGCTTGAGGCCAGGAGTTAGAGACCAGCCTAGGTAAAATATTGAGACCTCACCTCTACAAAAAATAAAATATTAGCCAGGTATGGTGGTGCATGCCTGTAGTCCCAGCTATTTGGGAGGCTGAGGCAGGGGGATTGCTTGGGTCCAAGAGATCAAGGCTGTGGTGAGCTGTCAACATGCCACTGCACTCCAGCCTGGGTTATAGCATGAGACTCCATCTCAGAAACAAACAAATGAAACAACTTGTTTACATGGATTCCATTAGGACTAAGATCACCTTTGAAGGATTACTTAAACTAGAAATTATCACTCTATATGTGTTGAAATTTCTCTTCCTTCTTGTCAAGCCTGTACCAGCTATTCGTCTTATTTTTTAAATAAATATTCCCGGCTCATAAAATGATTATCCAATATACAAAAGTTCCATGACCCACCCGTCTGGCCACAACCTGGGACCAAAAAATATTTATAATTAAATATAAAACAATTTCATTATTTAGGCCCAGACCTGTGCCCCTAATCAGCAGGAAGTAACTAGAGTGGCATCTCCCTAATCCCTCATGACTGAGGAATGTATATAATACTTGAAGGACTGAAAGCATACCCTACAGAGTTAAAGACATCAGTGACTAACAGAAAGTCTGTAGTTTGCAGAATGGCAGATAAGAAAAGAACTTGCTGAAATGTTAAAATCCCTCCACTTACAAGATAATAAAGCTGGCTAAAATCAATTGGAACCAAGATGGCTAACTGAAACCTGCACAAAATGAGCTTGCCGACATTACAACCAAAATTCCCACTGTGTTTCATACTAACTCCCCCCAAATTTGCATATGTGACTCATGAGTAGCCTGAAGACATAACTGTCCATGTCCAGAAACTTTCCAGACCTCTCCTTTCCTTCCACCAGTCACCTCCTGATCTCAGAATCTAGCTCCCAAACTGAGAGGGACCCTGAGAAACTTAGAATAAACTTAGTTCACATTTTGAACTGGTATAGGCATTTTTGCTTAAACTGACACGCTTTGAATATAGCACAGGTTAGACACAGATAGATAAATTTCCAACAGGCTGGTTTTGGGAAGTGTTCAGACATTTTACTGCAGGCTAAGCTGGCAGCCTACCCCATCCCCTTGGCAAATCTCCGTTAGATGCAAGACAAGGACAACTCAACCTTTCAATTCATGATTTAGCATAATAATCTCTAAGAAACTTTCAGGTTCCTTGTCAAAGGCAGAAGGTCAAAGATCACCCCTTAGCCAGCTGAAGTCATAGAAATGACAATAAGACCATCTTTTGCTAAGGAGCTGAACTCCTCCCCTTGTCTCCTTCCATCTAGCCCACCATCATGGCAGCAATCACATTACTAATCCACCCATCTGACTGCTGTACCTGCACTTACCTGTCCCTTTGTGATGATGTGGAGCAGACCACCACCCAATCACCTTAATGACCTTCCCCCAAAAAGGGAAGAGTTAAAAAGACTCAGCCATTAGCATCCAGAGGCCACTGCCTTGCTAACTATGGTGTGGCCATGTGTTCTTTGAGTCATGGCCAGACCACATTTCCTGGCTTTGGCCCCTTCCCTGGGGAAGTGAATCTCCTTGTTCTCTCTAATTTACTTTCTAAATAAACTATATTTTCTAATCTAACTTCTGTACAATTCTTTGCATCTTTCTCACAGCACTGGATCAACCAGATGCCCACTCCCCAGCAGGTCTGACCTAAAATTCTGGAGGCCCCCACTGAGAGTGTGACTTAACACAATCCTTTTCTAATAAAATTACTGTCTTAAAGTCAGCACAAAGAAAAAGATTCAACATAGACTTCTGTCTCCTTGTGAGTCTACTTGTAATGTAAAGCTTTTCTTTTCCCCCAAACCGAGTGTCATAGTATTGGCTTCTAGTGCATGGGGCAGCAAGCTCCGTTTGTTAAATAACAAGTAGAGTGAAATTTCAAGGTGTTGGCCTACAGGACTGCAAAGATTCAGTTACAAGACAAGGAATGCTGGCAGTTACCAGAAGCTGGAAGAAACAACAGAATGATTATTTATCCATGCATCAGTCAAGGGACATTTTAAAAGGTTACATTTAAAGGCTCTGTCGAGGAACTTAGCAGGTAGGTAAGAGAACACCATACTTAGATCCATGAGTGAGATATTATGAGAATCAGGAAGGCTTCCACATACTAATTTTCACTCTGGCTCCCCTCATATTGATAGTCCCACACCAAGTAATGACTATGTGCAGAATAAAAAGCATGCACAATCTCTACCCTCACAAAAAATTCAGCAAGATAGTTATCATTACCCTTGTTTGACAAGTGAGAAAACCCAGAGTCAGAAATAACTTGTCCAAGTCACAAAACTATCAAGTGATAGAGCCAGGTTGTACTTCTAGTTTGATTTGTCTCCAAAAACAAAGGTATCTCCATCGCGATGAAGTATCTTGTTGTGTTGCCACTCCCAGTTACCAGAGGCTGGGCTTTGTAATCTGTTCCTCAGGTAAACTGCATGCCTTAGTCTGTACATACCAAAAATATGCATAATAAATTTTTCTAGGTAACATTATTTTTTAGCTTATTTCTGCCATTTTGGTCCTGAGGTCTTATGCCTCACTCGATTATTTCTTTTGTAATTGTTGGGTAAAAACTAGACACAAGAGAGGCAAAAGAGGAAGATGTACACACAATACTAGGGTCTGAGGGCAAGAATGTCACCTTAAAGCATGTGTTGACAATAAATAAGTTACATCACAAAGAATCCTAGGGCTAGGAGAGCCCTGTTTTTATAGACAGGGACAACAAAAGCCAAAAATGTTGTATATTTGTCTAATAACCAACCAACTTATCAAAGTAGAATCGGACCACAAGGGAAACAAGATTTTTAACACTATGTAAGTACTAAGTGGGAAGTAATTACAAACTCGTTTCGATCACACAAACATCGTCTTGCGAAATTTCCATTATTGTCCCCATTATTTTTCTCTTCTCAAGCACTTATGTGGGATATAAGGAAACTGTGAGGACAAAACCAAGTCCTTATTTGGGGGAGGCGGAGAACTTCTAAATAGCACTTTTCAGTTGAAAGATTTTGAGATCCCACGATCAGACTATTAACTGTCTTTGAAGTGGTAATTCCATTATACAAAATCAAAACCCAAACACTCACAGAAAGTCCTGTCAAACCCTATCTTTAAATAAAGTTATTTTAAGTAAAAGAATGCTACTGAGCAACCCCTGAAACTCAGCGTGGTTTGTTCGCTTTGATCATGTTCTGGGATATCTCCGTTGCTATACCCGGCTACTACATAATTGTGTGGCATCACGGTGTAAATGTCTGTCGCAGAATGTGTAAATATATTCACTACCCTTGACAACTGTAAACAGAAGAAACGGCAAAAATAAACGGCAAAACGAGGTGCTAGGAGGAGGAAAGGAAAACCGTTCTGAGTAAGCCCGCACAGAATTTGCCCGTTCCCATGCCCTTCTAGGCAAGAATTTCCAAAAACCCAACCCCGGGGCGCAAAGGGCGTCAGACGCAGAGAAGCCCCACCTCTAACCCTGGAAAGGACGCGAGCTGCCCACCCTTCAAGCAACCCGAAGTCGCGTTGTCTGCCCGCCCGCTGCCTGAGCGACTTTCCTCCTCGTTCGCTTCCCCCTTTTACGACACTTTCCGACCTCGTTTGCGGCCGCTCCTGCCGTATTCCGTGGGCACCGATGACGGGCGCTGTTTCTGCTGCCGGGGGCCGCGTCGCTGCCTGGTAAAGCCGTGTAGTTGATGGCCGCGACCTCCACGCTGGGATGAGCCGCGCTCCCGGGGGAGGAAGGGGAGCCGAGCCGGAGCCATGGTGAGTGCGGCCCTCCGGCCTCCTGGGCGACCTCCGGCCCGGCCTGAACCTCAGCTCCTGGCCTTGGAGGGAGGAGGGGTGGTGGAGCTGAGGCTGGGCTCCCGGTGTGACTCCGGGCGGGAGTTTGAGGTCTCTGGGGCGTCCTGCTCGGCAGGACACGAAGTTGTTGGCAGGGTCTTTCGGCGCGGGGCTCCGGTCTCTGGTCCCGGACTCTCGGCGACAAGACGTTGCTTCCCTTAACCTCTGTAAGGTCAGAGGCTGTGGTGAACTCGGAGATCAGTGGAAACGCACTAAGATAACTGCCCTCTCCCTAACACATCTTCACAGTGCTTTCTCCTCCCCCTTAAGCTCTTGCTAACATGGATCTCTTCTCTGTGCTTCCTGGACAGATTGGGACCCTCTCCTGTTGTTAGGACATCAGGACAGTGGGGCTGGGCAGTGCCCAAGGCGCTCTGGAAAAGTTTTTGAAAATGCCTTGTCAGAATTTTACTGGAGCCGTCTGTAAACAATTGTTCCTTCTCTAGCAGAAACCTTATTTCCACTGCTCTTGATGGAACTTTAATGTGACTTCATTTGCCCGGGGAGGAAAGAAGTTTTCCTTTCTTTTCTTTTTTTTTGAGTTGGAATCTCACGCTGTCGCCCAGACTGGAGTGCAGTGGTCGCTCCCGCTGGGCTCCGGCGATCCTTCCGCCTCAGCCTTCCGAGTAGCTGGAACTACAGGCGCGCGCTACCACGCCCGGCTCATTTTTTGATTTATTGTAGAGATGAGGGTCTCGCCAAGTTGCCTAGGCGGGTCTCGAACCCGTGGGCTCAGGCAATCCACTCACCTCAGCCTCCCAAAGGCGCGGGGATTACAGGCTGAGCCACCGAGCGGAAAGAAGTTTTCAAAGGGAAAGAATTATCTTTTTCACTATTGTAGAGATAAATAAGCAAGTTGACTTGTCCTCTTCTTCCATAGTAAAAAAAAAAAAAAAAAAATCCTGTACCTTTATGCGTTATAAAGTAAAATTTTTATTGGGCAGGATATTTTCGCCTGAAAAATTTTTTCTTCTATTGAAATGCAACCTGTAATGAGTTGGGGATAGGAGAATGGGCAAAATAAGGAAGGGTGGGAATTAGAGAAGTAAATATTTATTCTTTTTCTCCTTACCAGGCCAGTACAGTGGTAGCAGTTGGACTCACTATTGCTGCTGCAGGATTTGCAGGTTTGTTTATGGTTTGGGGTGGAAGTGAAATAGGGAAGATTGGGAATTTTTTTTACTTACGCTATCGCTTTTGGTTTTAGGTCGTTATGTTCTGCAAGCCATGAAACATATGGAACCTCAAGTAAAACAAGTTTTTGAAAGTCTACCAAAATCTGTAAGACTTACTGAACATTTTTGCTAATTCTTTGCTCCCTGCGTTTGAAACTTAGAGCCACACTTGAGGAAGAGTAAATTTCCAGACATCCACAGTTCTAAGTGACTGCTTTAGACCCTTCTCTTGCGTATCACAAGGAGGGTATAGAGGTTCTGAACTTTGTAATGGTGCTATCCTAAAAAATTAATATGTTACAGAATTGGGGGAGAAGGTGTTACCAATTCTAGTACAGTATTGTGAAAGTTAATATTTATTATTCACATAACTATCAATGTTGGCATCCTATGTTCATATTCTTGCCTTCCCTTGTCTACTCTGCATCACAAACACAAGAATCTAGGGTTCTAAAGTGATCTGCCACTGGCACTATCGAACATACTTAGAGCACTGCACTTAGGCTGTAGGGTTTGACTAGATGTTCATACCCTCTGTGGGGTAGTTAAGAATGAATTCCACTGTTACAGCCTGAACATTAATTTTTATGTTGTGATTAAATGTGACAGAGTGATGGTAGGCTTTGCCTTTATATTTTCTCACATAACAAGGTCAGAGGACCTGATAGCATGATTTTTCTCTATACAAACACACTTGAACCAGTTGTCTCAAAAGACCTCCAGATTCTCTTCTTGAGGCACTTCTTGTTCTCTAAACCATATTCTAAGCCGCATTGTCTTGTTCTAAACCATACTGTCTCATAACCATAATTATGGGATGAAATTTTTATCTAGAATATGACTAATTTGAAATGATCTTTCCTTCACTCCTAGCAGAACTGGCTTTGAGACACTTCTTTTGTCTTATATTTCCAAGATTGTTCATATTGGCTGGAAAAAAAATGGGTATTTTCGATCATTATTTGTTGCTACTTATTAATAAGCTTTATTTAGCTTTAGCTAAAATCACATGGGAATTGCCCTTAAAGTTCTCTGAAATTCCTTAGTTTTTCTATTGGTTCTGTGAACATTTATAGACTTTTATCAGTTTATTCTATTAATCTTTCCTTACACATGCATTTCTTCCTTCAGGCCTTCAGCGGTGGCTATTACAGAGGTGGGTTTGAACCCAAAATGACAAAACGGGAAGCAGCATTAATACTGGGTGTAAGGTAAAATAATTTCTAATGTTTTTCTACAACCCTGGAGCTATGAGGAAATTTAAGAAAGACTTTCTCTCCTTTATTAGGAGGGAGTTGTTGGGTGATAGTTTTTGTCTCAGAAAGATTTATGTTATCAATTTTAGTTAATGGAAACTTACTGCTCCTTCCTTGCATGTATATTTTTAAGGTCTAAGCACTCCTACAAAAGTCAAATGAGAAAGCATACTGGCAAATAAGCACTTTTTCATTCATCCCAAGATAGACTTCTCAACAGGTTATAACAGACTCCATGTTGTTTTCTGTTACTGACATTTTGTGTGATGAAATCCTGCTTTAATTTTCAAATATTTAAACATGCTTTTCAATGAAAGGAGTGTTGTAATGAATAATACAAGTTCATCTACATTTTTGAGAATGCCTTACACTTCTGAGGAGCAATTTACTTCCCAAAGTTAAGATAGGCATTTTCCTCCTTTGTTGAGAGGTTCCTAAACAACCTTTTTAAATGTTGTAAATTACTACAATTTTACAATATCTTGAATTGGCCTTTATGTACAATTTTTGATGTGATCCAGGAATACATCAAAATAAATACCCTTCCTTTTTTAATTAGCCCTACTGCCAATAAAGGAAAAATAAGAGATGCTCATCGACGTATTATGCTCCTAAATCATCCGGACAAAGGTAATAGTCATTACATTGTTACACATGTTGTTGGCATCACTAATTGTATTTAATGAAATATATCTAATTCTTGGCTATTATTAAGGGAAATAACTAAATCTTTGGGTGAGCAGTCCCCTAGACTGGATCCCAAAATAAATTTTGGCAGGATATGGTGGCTTATGCCTGTAATCCCAGCACTTTGGGAGGCAGAGACAAGGTGATTGCCTGAGCCCGGGGGTTCGAGACCAGCCTAAGCAACTTGTTGAGACCTCATCTTTACAATAAACCAAAAATATTAGCCAGGCATGCACCTGTAGTTCCAGCCACTTGGAAGGCTGATGTGGAAGGATCACCCAAGCCACGCAGGTTGAGGCTGTGGTAGCTGTGAGCATGTCACTGCACTCCAGCCTGGGTAGACTGAGACTCAGATTAAAAATTTTTTTTTGAGTGAAACGTATTTTTATATTTTAGAATCAGGGTCTTGCTGTCACCCAGGCTGGAGTGCAGTGGCGTGGTCATAGGTCACTGTAACCTTGAACTCTTGGGCTCAAGTGATCCTCCTGCCTCAACCTCCTGAGTAGCTAATTTTTTAAAAATTTTTTTGGAGAGAGGTCTTGCTGTGTTGTCCAGGCTGGTCTCAAGCTCAAGTAATCCTTCCATCTTGGCCTCCTCCCAAAGGGCTAGGATTACAGGTGTAAGCCACCATGCCTAGCAAAAACTTTATTTACAGAATGAGCAGATCTAAGAGCTATTATAATTTGGCAGTAATGTTAACAATTGTGATAAAATGTGACTTCAAGTGATGATAATCATAAATATTCCTACTATTACTATGTTTTGGGGGAGTTTTATATGCCTACCTTCATAATCAAAATGTTAAAACTTCAGTCAGTAAAACTAAAATGTGAATTTTCTCCATCCATTTTAGATACTTTGAAATGGAGATTACCTAGCCAGAAACTTAAGGCATGTTTCTGATTAACACTTCTAAGCAGCCTTGGCTGTGCTGAAAGCAAATAATTCCTTTGAATACCAATATATAGGACACAGAAACCATGCTCCGGTGCTTAAATATTTTTATGTATATAGGAAAAGCCTTTCGTTAATAGGTTTTGCCTGTTTCAACAAGGTTATAATTATTTGGTACCTGACCTCACAGCATTTTTTACTTTCGCTTGAATTATGGGGGGGCGGGGAGCTTCTGATTCATATTGTTTCCTGCTGCTGCTTCTTGCTGGTCTTAAGACCACACTTGGAGAATCACTGCTCCCGCAATCAGTAGGAAAGCAGCTATAGAAGACATCGTGAAGGGACAGTTGATAATAGGAAACAAGAAAAACTGAAGGGCAAAAAAAAAAAAAAAAAGAATCCAGAGCACACTAGGGCCTTTCCAACAAAGTGCTCAGAAGCTTCTGAGAATATGGTTTTTTAAAATAAAATGGTGTTCATTCATGCCCTGTAATCATCATGAATAACTTATGAAGTTTTAAAGGCATATACATATGTATATAACACATGTGACAGAAATCCCATTTCTACTGGTTTTTAAGTGTTCTTAAAAGGTGCCATTTTTGTGAAATCTCCCTTGTAAATTACGTTTCACATTGGTCAAATATACCATGTAGTGAGTGGTCTGGTTGCAGTGTCAGTTATTTTTAGAATAAAATGCCATTTTTGCTAATTCCACTCAAATAAGCATTGGGAGTCATTGAAACAAGAGCGTAGCTTTTTACCAATCAGAAATTGAGAGTCCATATTATAACTGTTCATTTTTTTCTTTCTTCCTGTAGGAGGATCTCCTTATATAGCAGCCAAAATCAATGAAGCTAAAGATTTACTAGAAGGTCAAGCTAAAAAATGAAGTAAATGTTTCATGAATTTTGAGTTCATATTAGTTTGTGTATACAAGCACCAATTTTTTATAATAAAATGCCCAGTTACAATTTTAAAAAATGATTTAGCACAAGCTAATGTTCTTGTTTAAATTTGAGGATCTTAAATCAGACTGTAGACTAGTTTAGAATAGTTGGATGGTAATTCTTTTTTTTTTGAGTTAGGAGTCTCACTCTGTCACCCAGACTGGAGTGCAGTGGCCGCTCCCGGCCACCGCTACCTCAACCTGCTGGGCTCCAGCGATCCTTCCGCCTCAGCCTTCCAAGTAGCCGGAATTACAGGCATGTGCTACCACGCCCGGCTGATTTTTTGATTTATTGTAGAGATGAGGTCTCGCTGCCCAGGCGGGTCTCGAACTCGCGGGCTCAGGCAATCCACTCACCTCATAATTCTTAATTGTAGACAAATGCACATCACTTGAATAGAAATATTGTTCATTGTTCATTTAGCTAATAATTTGGCACCTATTTCTACTTAAAAGTGAAGATGACATCCTTGCTCTCCCAATCTAATAGAAGACTGATAACTGATCATTAAACTGTGATAAATAATATGATGGAATTAGCTTAAGCTGTAAGTAGTGACTCTTATGAGGAAAAGCTGTTTAAGGTACAGACAACTGGCCCAGCTACTTGGAACCTTGTATTTAAAAGTGAATTTAGCCACAACTTTGGCCTAAGAATTTGACTTGGGTATATGTATAGTATCAGACAGAATTTAGATATCATACATTAAAAACTAAAAATATAAAATCTGAGAGCACAGGTCCTATTTTTAATTAAGTATTTACAATGTATTCAGCTAACCCCCTAGAGATACTGACCATTTATAAACTATTCCTTCAACTGGTTACTTTTGACATAATCAAAGCGTTGCAAGTGTTATGATCAATCTTAAGCACTAGCAAAACTGAAAACAAATGTTATTATCAGTTCAGCTTGGACTGCTAAGAATTTACATACTAATAAATTTAAATGACATTTCGAGACAAATAACTTCTTAACCAGGGGAGTTGTGTAGCTCTAAGTTGATAAATTATACTTACCATCTAAACTTTCTTAAATGATCACAAAGTTCTTAATTATTAATGGACACAGAACTCTTGAGATGCAAATTATGGAGGTAATATTTATTGGCATTTTTAAGTAAAGGTACGCACATATCTGCTCTTGATTTTTTATCCTGTACCCTTGTTTAATCTGAAGTCTGTTAAGGATTTAGTATATGACACACTAGCTTCCCTTTATATAGAGTTCTAAAAATTTATTTCCAGGGTGGGGGGACATGAAGGTACAGTTGGTTCTTGTTCAAGGTAGTTCTGTAAAGTCACTGTGAACACTGAGTTAGCAAACACTGAGCCATTTTTCCTAGGAGAAATACAAATTTTGGGGAGCCTCTGGTACCACTTTTTGTCAGCTGATCAGTACATAACCTTGTTTTATGTATGTTTCTGTTTAAAAACATCTTATGTAATATGGTTTCATTAACATTGAACTCACAGCCAATAGCACTATAAATCATGCTTGACACATCACAGCCTTTCTTGCACTTAAGAAACTAGTTAGTGCTTCACTATTACTCTTGGGCACCATCTTAAACAGCAAAATCAAAAAGCACAAATACAAAATATGGCACTAGATAGACTACAAAAATGACACTTTATGAGAGCTGAAATACAAAGGCAGAGCACTGCCTTGTTTGTGCACATGGGGTGGTTCAAATTTTTTGCCAATCTGCAAATATTCACAATGACTGGAAAAACCTATTTAGTGTGGATTTTGAAGTTAAAGACAAATTTTAGTGAGGAGGCAAACTCATAAGGAATCTACTAAAAATGAGGATTGATTGTATTTTGGTTTCCTAACCTTTTATTTCAGTCTTTTGGACTAATAAAAAATGTTTCTAAGAACTTTAAGAAATTTTATTGGTTGACTTAAAAGCACATTTTTCTAAGACAAATAGCAGTACGCCCACAGGCAGTCAAGCTTTGACTCTAAAAATGAAGACTTAATGTAGCAGGTATACTTGAGTGTTAGATGGTATACCTGTTTTAAGACAGGTGTTAAGACAATGAAAATCACTTTTAAAAATAATACTGAGGAGCACAGCGTGCTTTTTTTCTTCATAGCAATCAATTTTATTTTCTCTAGGTTCATTTTTTTCAAGTAGAAGAATCCATATTTCACTGAAGGCTATTAGGCAAACTGAGTATTTAAGTCTTCCATGTAAGGGCTCTAAATCATAGTTGGGTAACTGATACAAATATGACCTATAAAAACCTTCAACTTTTGGTGGTATTTTCTTATTACTTGATCTGTAATGTGAACATTTATTGAGTACTTACAGTATCCTAGCATTGTGCTGAGCATTCTCTCAGAATCTCAACAGACTATCATTACGTAGATTTTATATGTGAGGAAGTTTAGTGAGGTTAAATAAAGTGCCCAAGGTGTTAGGAAGTTTAGTGAGGTTAAGTGCCCAAGGCAACATGCTGAGAAAGGCTGATCTATCTTAGATCCCGAGTTCCCTGTTCTTAACCACTGTACTAAGAGTACCTTTCACAATTACCATCCACACGTTTTCCTTGGTGCCATCGAGATATGTCTGATACTTGTCTTTACACGTTTAGGTTGGGCTGTTATTCTTCAACAGCTGGTGCTTACAGATCACATGGGTTTTTTGTGTTTTTTTTTAAAGAGTGGACAGTATGATTAAATACCTTAGGGAAAAGGAGATAGGTTTCAAGCCAAACTTCTGCAATAGCCAGGTAACTGAACAAGTCATGTTTGGGCTCCTGTCTCCTGGTCCATAAAAGGAAAAGATAAATGACCAAGCCCAAATTGTGCAGATTCCTCCACATTTTATTGCTAGGGAAACAAAAGGTCAGAGCAAATGGTTTCCAAGATTCCACAACTAGTAAAATTAGAATTAAGCTCTGGTGTCTTCTCCAATTAACTGTGTTCTTGTTAGTTCTCAGTAGACGGCTGGGGGCTGGGGGTGGAGGGATTCCTATCTACGGCCTAGATTTTTTTTTTTTGTCCTTTAGCCTCTTCCCTTTTGTCTTTACTGGCCATCTGGGTTGACATTATTAGTGATGAGTCCTAAACTGTTGTATAAAAACTTGGCTTTGTTGGTAAAAAGTGGGCTATAATGAGTAATCCTGGAAGTTAACTATCTTTTTTCCACCTTTAGTTTTAAGCAAGTATTATCCAAACAATGAGAGCATTTAGATAAAGAAAATAATCTTAGTCATGCAGGTTACTAATCCAGAAAACCCATATTGTTTAAGAAATAGCTGAAAACGCTGGTGCAAACCCAGGCGGCATATAAGCCCATACCTATATAATAAGCTGATTCTAGAAGTTATGTGGTTTTCTCTGACATCCTTAATTTACTCAAAATTACAAAAAACAAGCAGAGCAATAGGCAGCTAGAAGCAAAACCAATGAGAATTGGGAAAAATTAGGTAACTGGCTGAACACAAGGTAAAATCCTACACGTTTAGTATGCCACACTGCAAGCTGTATGTATTCAGTATACTGAAAATGTATAGTACGTAGAAAACCTTACAGAAGAAATATTTAAAAGTAAAATGCACTCAGTCCTAATCCTTCATTTAAAGGGTTAGTAGGGTTTTAGGTCCAAATGCTGAGTTGTTTCAATTATGAGAATGTGTAAGGCATCTTTCTGTTATCAAGCTTTTAACGGTCGTTTTGCAGTTCAGTAAAATATAGGGTCACATTTTTGAATGCAAATGATCCCCCAAACATGTTAATTCTGATGGAAATTTGGAACTTGGCTCAGAAATGTCAAAGAACAGAATAAACTAGAAAACTAAGTCTGAGGTAAACAAAAATCACTACTTAGTATGCTCTATTCTGTAAAGAATCCCGGACTGAGTGTAACCTTGAATACGGGGAAACAAATGACATGATGTAAGTTCTGCTTTTTGTTGGACTGCTGTGCAGAGTGCTATGTACTTGCTTGGTGCCAAATGCTGTTGCCTTAGCAGCAGGACAGGATAGCTTCTGTCCTGTATTACCTATTATTCCTGACCCAGTGATAAAGTAACAGCCTGGTGTTATAGTATATATCTGTGATGGTTAACATGTGCTGCCACTTTAATGCTGTTTCAGTTAATGAACTTTAAAATGTGTTGTTTATATTTTTCTTTAAAACCTGAAAAACAGCAAGTTAGTTGAAAAAGGAAGCTGAAAGATGTTGAAGTGTACATTCCAGTCAGCAATTAAGTATAAGGTGGTATTTTTTATGAAAATGGTCTCTAAACTAGGCTATGAGTGGTAGGTACATTTTACAATTAATCCATTAATTAAAGGGGGAACATACATGCAGAAAATATTGTACCCCCAAAGAACATACTAGTCACTCAAATACAAAAAAAGTCAAAAAGTTATTAAGTGGCATACTTAATAGTGGGGCTGCGAGACTGAGCTAGTCAGTGAAAACTAATTATTTTGCTCTCATTTTGGGTTGTTAGACTGCATTCAGCATGGTTGGAAATATCTGGGGTGAATACATATATTAAACAAACACCATTTTGGCTCAGCATAGTCCTTATGAAAATACTTGGACATCTGGTTCAATGTTATCCAGGGTCTGACACACAACTAGATTCAAGATGTCTTAATATTGGAAGGGCCTTCAAGAGATCAACTAGCCCAGCCCTCTCTGCTTGGACAAAACTGAAACCATGGAGAAAAAAGTTAGAACTAAAATAGTGGCTTTCAGTTCTGTACATTTATCTAAAGTACCTTTTCAAATTACGAAATCAAAGAGTAGATAGCTAAGTGGGAAATCATCTTATAAAGTTGCATTATAGTTTTTCCAGTGTTATGTACCCTACACTTCAGTACTGTTAACAGTAGAGACACAAATGAATCGGAATCTAACTTTACCTACTGATAAGCCCTTTTAAAAACTAAAATTTAATATTTTCTTAATACATCCTAAGTAATGTTTTTTACTTTGTTTACCTCAGACTTAGTTTTCTCACTTATTCTGTTCTTTGAAGTTTTTGGGGCCAAGTTCTAAATTCCCATCAGAATTAACATGTTTGGGGGAACCATGGCATTCAATAATAAAAACTTCAATAATTAGGGGTTTTCTGGATGTTTGAACTCATTGCTCAATTTCTAGTGCAAATAATCACATTTAAAAATTCACAATCAGGTTGAACCACACAAAATTGCTAATAGGTAACCATTTTTGACTCACAAAAGTGGAAATTTCCTATTATTTATTCTCATGGACTTAATTCAACCAGCAGTAGAGTGTAGTTTCAAGTTAACACCACTTGCCGGAAGTCTGACTATAGCACATGGCCACTATTGCTTTATTGCAAAAGTTCCTGAAATAAAACCCAAATACTATCACAGATTAATCATGGGTTATGAGCAACTATAGTGAATATATACACACATTCTAGTAACTAAAATTTTTAAGAAAGTTCTGCAAATTCACTATACCAGATATCCTTATAAAAAGGTGTAAGGAATCAAACCTCATATAGTAGCAAAGACAAAGATTCAGACTGCACAGCAAACACCCTACTTTTGCCCTTTGGGAATTGTGCCAAACCCAAAGATCCAGTGTCTTGAAGCCTTCTAGAAGAAAATCCAGGTATAAAAGTAACTTTCCATTACTGTCATTCTCAATCATCTGACATAGGTATGCATTATAATCAGTTGTCCATGTTTCTGTCCTTAGTATAAAGCTCAAGTATAAGCTCCTTGTAAACACAGCATGTGACACTAGTTGGTTTGAACCTCAAAAACAGTGTAAATCTGTTTGCAGAGGGCACAAATGGCATGAGTTCCCAGTTCATGTGCAGCATCTAGTTAACATACAACTTTATAAAGCCCCTCCACAAGGTTACAAAACACTAGACATATAGCAAGCAGCGGCTACAAAAATACCTGTGACTTAGCACAAAGGTGATGGAACTCAGCAACATCTCACTAATTTGATGTGCTGCTTCTCTTAACATACTAAAATACCTGATTATTCAAAATTAAGATTTGTGTATCCCTAATATACTTTACCAATCATGTCTTAACTGCTGCCAGAGACAGCATTTTGCAGAACAGTTTCTGGCTCCTTTAAGGTGATATCTAAACCAAGAATCCTAGGCCTCCCAAAGTTTCAGGAAAAGCAGGTCATTTTTGCCCGCACATAATCTCAGCTGCTACACCATGATTCAGCTCAGGTTCCATATATGAATTCATACATATATGCCAAAACAGCATGAGCCACACAAGATCTTCCAGAATACTTTATTTTATGTTGCCCAGGCTGGCCTGGAATGCCTAGGCTCAAACGATCTTCCTGCCCAAGCCTCCTGAGTAGTTGGAGCTATAGGCATGTGTCACTGCACTTGGCACTAGAATACATTTTTTGCTTGCTTGTTGGTGTATACTGGCAAGTTCTCTCATAGCAACATTGCATCTAACTAGAATAGCAGCGACAAAGATTGAACCCTCCCAAATAAGTTTGGAAGGCTACCTGAATTAACAGTGGTATTACCTCTGGGAAGTGGGATTTTCATTTATACTTCTGCATCTGAGAACATACTGTTAAAAAAAAAATGGGTTATCACAATTATACAGTACTTGTATTTTGTTAAAGGACAAGACATTGGGTTTAGTTATCTTAATAGTGATTTCTTAAGAGTATGGATTAATTTGCTAAATAACTGGTTCAGCTATACTCACTTCTTATGATGTTTTGTTTCTTCCTTTCCCACTAAGACAGTCTTTATGGAAAAAGGATTTTAGTAAATCTATTTGGCATGGCACAAAAATGGAAAATCATTTTATTCTTCCTACCACATTTGCCAATTTGGGATTAAAATTCTTCTGATACCTTATAGTTATTTTTTATCCCAATTAAACAACAGAATAAAGAGGCCAACACACTATATTTCCAGCTTTGATTAATTTTTAAAAAATGGCACTTGTGGGTAAATTTTTAAAAATCAGGATATGAAATTACTTGGTATTTTTACATAAAGTGTAGGAACTACACTATTCCCTGCTTTAAAATTATCAGGGACCATTTAGGAGGTTTCAGGGAAAAGCATTTTATATTAGCATATTTTAAAATTTAATTAGGAGAAATTTGAGGGGTAGGGTTATGTACATATTGACCTGGCAAATTTTACATATTTAACTATACCCAGAATTATCCTTCACTTTCTATAAATTAAAATCACTTTTGGCCGGGCGTGGTGGCTCACGCCTATAATACCAGTGCTTTGGGAGGCAGAGGCAAGAGGATTGTCTGAGTCCAGGGATTCGAGACCAGCCTGGACAACTTGACAAGACCTTGTCTCTACAATAAATAAATAAAATTAGCTGGGTGTGTGGTGGCGCATGCCTGTAGTTCTGCTACTTGGAAGGCTAAGGCAGAAGCATCACCTGAGTCCAGGTCTAGGCAGCAGGCATTTCAGTCTGGGCAACAGAGTGAGACTCAGACTCAAAAAAAAAAAAAGGGGGGGGGGCATTGGAGGTATATTCTTGTTCAGTTTAATATAAGTCAGTGGTCCAATATAATATTGTGGAGCAAAGCCCAACTCTAATTCTACAATTAATTTGATTTGACCTTGCAATTACCTGTGCTACATTATTGTTACTCTAAAACATACTACCTTTATCTTTGTAAAATTAAGATATGACTAAAATATGTACAAAAAGTCTTGATTTTCAATCAGTGTTCTGATAACTTTCAAAATTAGTTCGAGAATCAAGAAGCAAATTATTGGCCTATGATTTAAAAGCTGCTCATAATACTTTTTAAAAATAACTTTTAATAATGAAAGGCAAAAGTAAAATTCTGGCTTCTCCCCCATTATCTTCCAAAAGCTGCCTTTGATTAGAACTTGGTTACAAAAATCTCTTTTCCTAATATCAAATGTATCAATTTCCTAAGTCATCTACTCTAGCAGCCTATATTTTAAGTGTTAAGATTTCAGAGGATTTATCACAAAATGATAAAATGGCCAACTGACATTTTAATGCTATTTATGAGGAAGTATAGATGTTTTTAAAAAAGCAATGTATACTAACTACTCTAGGCCTGTAAGTAGCTCCAACTACTTTGCAACAATTAGTGTAAAAAGTAGAAAGTTAAAAAATCAGCAAATGGAAGATCAAAGTTTATTTACTACCTGCATACAAAAAACATATTGCACATCAAACAACTGAAATCAAAAAAAAAAAAAAAAAGAAAGAAAAAAAAAAAAGGAAAGAAAGAAATGAAACTCTACCAAAGACTAACATGTAGTTTACACAGAATAAACCTTCTGGAAATGGATTTTTTCAGTAGTTCAGGTTATGTCTGAATGGACATGACTAATTCAGCTTAGTGTTTTAACTAAAGCTATGTTTGATTTTTAAATACTGTACACTTTAATAAATAAACCAAACAAAGCCTCAAGGTAGAACAGTCACTGCCAAATATCACCCAGTGTCCCTGCAAATGAGAGTTTAACAAATGTATTCCAGTGGTCTGCAGATTTTCCTCTACATACAGCATTAAAAAAAAAGAACACATTAAAACAGACCAGTTTCCAGACTAAACTAATGAAGAAATTACAATTCAGTGCAAAATATTTTAGACTGCATTTCATTCTAGTTTTCCTCAGGTGAAGAAGTGGTTGCATATTAAAAATGTAACAAAAGCAGCTAATGCTTTCATAAAGAATATTAGGTTAGGGATCCCACCCCACCCACCTCCCCCCATCTCTGCCATATTTTGAAAACAAAATAACATTTCCTATAGCCAGCAACTTTTTTTTAATGTTACATATACTATTCTCAAGGCACATCTGATGATATATAACACAGTAGGTGTCAAAGTATGTTTAACATATGATTTCTTCAGGATCCCTCCCCTTTCTGAATTCCAAATGGAGGAACTGAAAGTGCGATGTAAAGACTGGCGATCCATATTCTATCTTTGGCAAGCTTGTACAAGCACTATTGTAAATGTAATGTAAAAGAACTGTAAACTAGGAACTTCTTCAGTTTATGAAACACCATTCAGGACTGCTGCTTCTTGAGTGTTTTCTTCTTTTAAGGTATTAATCTTTTCTTCTCCTGGAGTACGCTGTAGCTTAGAAATTTCATCGCCAGAAGCACTAGTTGGGCCATTTATTGCCTTTTCTGAAGGACCATGCTCTTCAATCACATCTTTTGCCTGCCAAAGGGAGACAACTTTTTCAACTTCTTATAAATAAAATCTATAGCTGAGGAGGAAAATAGCTACATAAACAGTAATTAGCTAATTAAAAAGTTTCAGTTTCATATGCCACAATGGATCAAAATATTAAAACAATCTTAAAATTCAAAACAAAAGTCAATGTACTCCACTTTCTAGGTCCTTCAACTCTTTTATATCTAGTATCTAGCAATGCCCAAACCACACAAAGCATCAGTACTGTTTAATGAAATCTGCACCTAATTTTATTTTAAACCACTGGAAAGCTTACCATGTAAATGATATAGTTAATACCTTAAGTAAAACAACTAATCACATACTTTACTCACCTTTTTTTTTGAAACTCATATTTACATATCAAATCCCTTAAAGCAGTAAAATAACTGAAATTTAAAAGCTCTATATCCATCATTGAGAAGAGGTATATAGCCTATTGCTCCCCAAATTAAGCAATAGCCTTTATGATCAGTATCTTTGAACACAGTGAATTTTACAAATGCTACTTAAAGTTCTAACTAAAAAGTATTTCAGGCTCAAGCATGCATATCTTCAGTTACTAGGGGCCAAGAACAAAATCTAGAGTCTTCTTTAAAATATTACTTGTCTATTTGTGGAAACAAGTGATCATACAGTAAGAAGTAAAAAAATAAAGCTAGACCATACCAAAAAACAAAAAACAAAAACAAAAAAAACCCCAAAAAACAAAAAACCTACAGTTTAAATTCTCCTTACCATTTCTTTCTTGTTTTTAGCCAAAGTTTCCCTTGGGAGGTTTCTTTGTCTGCTCTGAGACTCAGCTCTAGAAATATAATCTGCAACTGTGACTGTTAAAGATGAGAAAAAAATTACAGGTGTTGAAAAAATATTTCTAAAATTTATTTATGGATAAAGAGTACTTTCACTTTTAAACTTGTGGTGGGTCACCCAATTTCAAAATTTTTTTAAGCTGGGTACCACCTCCAACCGGAATCATAGCCTGAAAAATTTGCTTGTGATTTTAGTACTAACGAGAAAATATCAAGGTTGAGATTGAGGAGTAGTCCTCTTTCCCAAGAATACAGCTATCTGCTTCTGGTTAAGTCTAAGGCTGTGGGGACAAATTTGCTGTACAAACCCACAACCAAGAATAGGAAATGCAGATGAAATGTTCAAAGCCTAAAGATAGTTTGTAATTATCAGTGGGAGGAAATGGGGCAACCGTGGTGCAAATCATGGTGTGCAAATAGATTTACTCAAATGTTACTTTTGCTTTTTTAAGACAAAGCAAAATTAAGATGTCCAAGTGTGGTGGCATATTTTTTGGTTCCTTTTTAAGACTGCACACTGGAAACCGAGTGTTTAAAATAAGAAACTACAAGGAGACTAAAGATGACATACCACCACCCTACAAATATGGACATCGATCAGAAGGGAAGAAGGGCCAGAGTGAATTCAGTGACGACCATTCTCCCTGGACTATATGAAATGTGTGTTTGCAAAGTAGCAGAAGTGAGTGGCGGATTAGGAGAAAGACTACACTACTGCCAACCCAAGTGCAACAAATGACCTCTGTTTGTAAAGATATTGTGGACTGGCCTAACTTTATACCTCAATTTTTTCTCTAGAAGAAATTGAAACTTACTGGAAGAACTTCACTGACTGGGAGAAGTATTAAAATAACCATTCCCTTTTCTCTCAAATAATTATTTACTATCACAAACTGGTTAAGAAATCCCTGATATGTGAAAATACAACATATTTTAAATTGTGGGATCAATTATATAAAAAGCAAAAGCTCTAGTAAATTTTAAATCTATTTAAATTCACTAGATATGGGGAGAAGTGGTTCACAAGATTCAAATTATATGAAAATAACAATCATTTGGTATAATGAAAAGCTGGAGAGTACTTACAATTCCTTTTTCTTTAATTATGAATTAACATGCTGACATTTTCACATCAAAGAACTTTCTCGGAACTATTACTTAAATGGATCTTTTAAATTCACAAAGAAACAACTTATTTCAGAACTTGACAACATTTATTTGAAAACCACTATGTCTAAAACTGCTTCTTTCCTTCCATACTATAAGAAACTCTGAAAGTTCACATTTAAGCTTTTAAAATTGTCGATCACTTAAATTCACTGCCAATGAATTTATAAATACATTTAATAACAGTATATCATACTGGGGAGGTATATACATAATTGACTTCATTATTATGTCTACATACATACATGGTGGCAAAACCATGAGAAGGATTCTAGCCGTAGTCTGGGGAGCAGCATAATGAATGTACTGTTTTCAAGTTCAGCCCTCAGTGTCTGGTGGGAAAATTCACCTACTTGGAAATTTTGCTGCTAAATTTAAATATGTGCTGAAGCAATTCTTAGAACCCTTTATTCAGTATGTACAGAGACAGATAATATATTTTGATATAGTTATCAATAAGATTTAAGAGGAACTTAGCTGGAGTGCTCCTACCCAAATAAAAGGAAGTCCAGAGAACACTCAGTGAATTCAAAGAAAAGCCTGTTTCTAGCCAATCCTCTTCAAAGTTGAATACAGATTAATACATAGTACCTAGAAAAATGCAGGCAATTTGTGTAGCATGATTTAAACTCTAGTATTTCCTTTAAAAGGTTCAAGTCAATCAACTGGAAACCAGTGTATTGTCACATTAGTGCAATAAAGAACATTCAGTGCTTAAGTTACACTAAGAGGCCAGGAGAGGTGGCTCACAACCATAATCCTTTGCACTTTTGAAGGACAAGTTGGGAGCAATGCCTGAACCCAGGAGTTTGAGATCAGCCTAGGAAACAAATAAAAAATTAGCTAGGCTTGGTGGTGTGTACCTGAAGTCCTAGCTACTGAAGAGGCTGAGGCAGAAAGACTGCCTGAGCCCAGAAGGTCAAGGCTGTGAGGAGCCATAATCGTGCCATTGCACTGCAGCCTAAGCAACAGAGAGAGACCCGATTCCCCCACACAAATTACAGTAAGAACAAGAAATTTTCAGCGAATTGAGAAAAAATAAAATGATGATGGTTTTAAGAGAATGTTAATCTTAACTTTAGATGGAGGCTGCCTCCCCAGAACTGCTGCCAGGATCAAAAAAATAGTTTTGTGCTTGTTGCACCCATCCAATCTTCCTATCTTTTGGGAATAGGAAGCAAGTTAGGATATGCAAGGAGTTTTATAATAAGAGTAAAAGTAGTAATCCCAAAGAATAGAGTAAAATAGGAATAGATGCCATATGAAACACAAATCATTGTCAAATTATTGACAACTCCAATTACTCATTTCAACTAACACCATTCAGAATTTTCTGCCTCTTCTCCAACAAGCCCCACTGTTAGTCCTTTTAGTAATAACCACCTTACATCTAGTTAATAAATTATGTTATAATTTTATGTTAAGTCCTCCCTATAGCCTGAATTTTCTTATTTATAGGGACAGAAAATATATTTATTGCTGTGCCACCTTCAAAAAATGAAATAAATGTGATCTCTTCACTAAGATATATTTCCAACATTGAAAGAGGGAAGGAAAGAAGAAAGGAAAATAAACATCTTCTGGATACTTTCTATTTTTTAACAATATTTAATTCCTTCACAAATTTCCAACTCTCTTTAAGACACAAACTTTCAGGAGTGGGAACTGATTTCCAGTTTTCTCATATGTCTCTACAACCACTAAACTTAAAATATAAGATGCTAGAATTTACATACTTATTTGGGGAAAGCACATGACAGAATTGGCTTTGGAAAGAATGCAAAAATTGATTAGTTTGAAAGGGGTTTATTTCTGGTGCACACAGTTTCTTCATTGTAAATTTACATGTGATTCTCTGTACAAAGAAAGTAGAATTATGTGCAAAATAATATAGACACAGCAAACAAGTTTCTTTGAAGTCACTAAAAATTATGACTACATAAAATAACATTCTAACACTAAGTAAGTACTATTAATTTGAATAGTTAGTAGGTGCAAGGGAAAAGGAATCACACTACAATAAACAAACAAAATATAACATGCATTCCTCTTATTAGAAAAAAGACACTTTCAAATATTTTTCTCTCATACTTAAAAAAAAAAAAACAAAACCTGTGGATATTACAATTCCCACAAAAACGAGGTGCTGAATTCAGATATAGTAAGCAGAACCATGCAAAAGCTGCCCAGTTTTGCCAATCAACCTCAATCACAATCTACAACATAGTCCCTGGAATGGCAGGCCCCATCTCAAGTTTGAAGAATCTGCCAAGTGAACAAAATAATGGTCTTCTCAACAGTATTTTTAAGTAAAAATTGAGACACATATTAGTTTAATTAGGTTACTAACACATTGTAAAGGAAGAATGCATTTTCTTAGTAGTAGTCTTATTAGTCAAATAAACAATTTATGCAATGCAAATTTTGAATGTATATGCACACGTGTACTTGTAAGTATATATATTTAGAAAGCAGACACATGACATTTTTTTCATGCTTGTGACCCAATGCTGTCAACAGGTCCACTCAAGTTACCTGGCTGTCTATCTTCTGCCTGACCCCTGAAACGACGCCTGCGGCTACGATTGCGTCGCTGGGGTTTTTTTTCACTATCATCTGTAATGGCAAAATTTACCATGAACTGTTCTGACAAAAACAAACAAACAAAAAAGCAAAACAAAAACTTCCTTCAAAGATTTAAGGAAGGGAAGAGAAACCTTTAATTCAACATCAAAGATAAAACATACATTACTGACAGCATATACATTTTTGTAGCTTTAAGCATTCCAAGTAGCTTAATAATGGAATTATCACCTAGAAATTAAGGGGGTTTTAACTCATAATAAAACAAGCTCTCAGACTTAATTTAAATTGCCATCATTCAGGGATAAAGTTTTCCTTTCCAACATAGTTTGGTTTATGCCAAAGTTAATGACCTTTTAGTCCTCTGAAAATTAATGACTTCTCTTGATATACATACCTTCACTAGTGTCATTTATAATAATTTTAAAGAGACAAGCTGAAAGCCCTGATTTTGGTTTTGGGACAACATGAGCAGTATTTGTAAGTAAGTTTGGGCATTTGTATGGATTTGATGCCATCAAAGAGCTCTTTAACCTCTCAGTTTCAAGTGATCTGACTGATAAATCTGAGAACTAGACATCTCAAGACAAAAAGCTATCTACTTTGCTTGAAGTAAACACTAAGAAAAAGTCAATTTGTGAACTGCACACTTTCTGAAAAAGGCTTTATACATTAACATCATTATACAAGTATATCTATCTTTCCCCTAAGTGCTTACATACCTAGCCCATTTTCATTAACTGAAGCTGTATCAGATTCAGTCATTCCATCCATCAGAACAGCATCTTCATCAGTCCTTCGTCTACGAGACCGCCTACGACGGTTAGTACTGTGATGAGATTCGCTGGCATCAGTGTCTGCAGTCTGATCTGATTCTGTATTATCAAGTAAGCTGTATGGATTGCTGTCTGGATCTTTGAGCACTATATTCATGTCAGAGGCAAGAAATATTCGTTTAAGAGGGCTGCAATGATGAATGTTTGATCTATAATGAGCTATATCAATTAATGATAAATAAATGTCAATATCCCCCAATAAAAATGCATTGTCTTCAAATAAAATGTTTTCAGAATCACTATGTTACCTGGAAAATAACAAAGATGATTAAATATGGAAAAAATGTTAAATGGCGATAAAAAATTAAAGCAGAAGGTGAATAGACATCTCAGCTTAACATCTTTGACTTATTTTTAAAATATATATTAGAAAACAGTGTATTAAATGCTAATTTTAACATTCACATTTCAAAATAATCCTTTCCAAAGGCTAGAAAAACGAAAGTGAAGGTAAATATTTAGCTAATATAAATTAACTCTGAAAAAGAGCTTTTATCACCTTAACTGAGTTCAGGGTTGACTACTGCTTCTTTGTGCTAATGTTAATGGACTATTTCCAAGTAATATCCAATACCTGCATTCCATGACATAAAAGAAATCTGCAACTATGACCTGAAGCAATCAAAACAAGTTCATATAAAGCAGAAAACTAAGTAAGGTTGAAATTCTAACTGGCTATAAAAAGGAAAATGTTGACATGGATGCTGATTAATATTCCATCTCTAGAAACAAGGTGTGAAGGTAGGGTGAAGGTGAAAAGGGAAAATTTTAAGATATAATTTTTAAGAAAAATACCCATCTTACCTATGTGCATTTATTGCCTCCAACAATCAACTTATAGCAGAAATTCACCTAATCACGACTTTTCCTAAGTTTCCTTTGGTAACAGCTATCAAGCTAGCATCTTTGCAAAAGACACTAAGTTTATCCATTAATCATAAACACTAGACAAAGTACATTTATTTTGCAATTCAGCATACTATAACTTTATAAACTTTGGTAACAGTACATGGTGTACTAAAACAGAAAAAAAATCGATTTCCCTGAAAGCCTGAAAATTAAATATAGGGCTCTAGGAATATTACTGTGGGGGGAAAAAAAAATGTCCCGAAAAAAATCCCTGATTTGTTCCGGTTTCTTAAATTTGTAAGCACATTTAATATATATTTAACATATATACATATATCCTCTGTTATATTTCAAATACTATTTAAGTTTTCACGGGCATGTTATAACGTTGAGAAAAGTCTGGTTTTCTTAAGGTGGTATACAATAATGATATGTTAAAATTGTATCTTTGACATAATGTAGTCTCCTGGCAATCTCCCCCCAGCCCATTATGCTAACCAAGAATATTTTGGCAATTCCTACTACTCCACTTAAAGCACTAAAATTTTTTTAAAAGACATAAGTAAACAAGTAAAAAGTTGCTTATACATCTCAAATCTTTAGTCATCTTCCTTTATAAAATTTTCTTTAAAGGTCTATTCACAACTTTTCCCTGTTCCTGAGTACTATATAGTATAGCAAAGAAGGCTTTTCAGTTAGTTTTCAATATTAAGTATAGAAGAATATTGAAATTTGTCTGTGCATTAGAATTGTTTGGGTCTGTCTGGCAAACAGAAATACATAACCCAAAAACTCTTAAAGAAAACAAAACATTTCCAATTGTATATAAGCCCCCCAGAACTGAAGAGATAAACATCTGTCCCTCAAAATACAAAGAAATAGCCAACTAAAGTTCTAACCTGAATATTCTAAGTAAACCTTTACTGAGAAACACTCTATAGGGCTTTCCTCATATTGCTATGCTGTCCACTATTTTCTCTAAGACATGGAATAGAAAGAGAAACTTCCAAGAATAGGTGGCCTTGGGAGATGAATTAACTTTTGTAAGGTTATGCTGTTTACAAAGAATGGATGGGGACAGAGTATATGAAAGACTACCAGAACTGATGGAGGATTTGCCACCACGTGGTCCACCACGACCTCGACCCCCTGAAACACTTCTGCCTCTTCCTCCTGGGCGTCTCCTGCTGTCACGCTGATGTCGACTGTCTCGATCATCTTCTCCTGCCAATGACCAATCACTCAGCTCATCTTTACGCTCAGATTCTGTTTCAGAGGGGTTAGACAGCTCAGAATTTGTACCTTAGGAAAGAAGAGAACATAAGCCAATTAGATTCCTGTTTAAAAAAAAAAAAAGAAAAAAGTTTGGAGGCTTAAAAATGTTCAAAATTCTTTCCTACAAATTACCATTTAAATAAGCATACCGCTTGGCTGCCTCAAAGAAAAGTACAAGAAAATTAAAATCTGAAACTTCTTGACTAAGGAATAATCAAATGTTACTCTAGTAGTATATTATCTACTAGTCAAGATAGACTACAAGATGAACTGATGTACAGAAACACAGCCAAGAGAACTACAGAAAACATTCAAAACACTACATATCAATATTAAAATGCACTTAATAGGGAGATATTTTAAGAGTTTCTGATCATTTAGGTTTTAGTAACCTAAATTATTAGCACAATAAAAATAACTGCTATCCAATATTTAAAGCAAATTTAACTGCATTTTTACAATGACTAGTTTAACTGTATAGTGTAGTCTACTATTATTTCACTGATTCTAGGGTGTACCATTTTTTCCACATTTTAACATCTCTGAAATCAAGACATTTCTTACAATTGTTGGCATCTTTCTTACAAACTGTGAGTGTTTTTCCAGTGATTAAACATAATAGCATGTTTTACTAGCAACAGTATCTCAGATTAGAAAAATATGGCATTTGAAAGTGACACAGTAATTCAGCATGTCTTTAAAAGCTTACAGACCACTTCTAACATAGCAAAAACCTATTTTAATGGCAACCTTTAAAAACTTTAGACACTACAAAGATGCTGTAAGAAAACTACAATAGCATTATTATTTATTTCAAGCGTCAGATACACATGACCCAATCACTATACTTAGTCTCACTTCTTCATTAGTTTTGAGATGCTACTTTTCTCCCTCTTATCATGATATATATCATGTATCTGTCAGTGCCTACTTCAATTTCTAGCTTGACCAATGCACCTTAAAACAGACCTCTTCCCTTCTTGTTTCCTTAAAAGCACCTATCCGTCATGCAGTATGTCATGAGTTGTTCTCTATTTTTCCCTTTTGGAATTACTTTAAAATGTCTATGATAAAGGGCGGAACTTCGTTTCAGACCTTTATATGTCCCCAAATGCCTAGCAAGATGTGTAACAATTTTCTCAACTTACGAATCTGCTGTATAATTTTGAAATTCATTTGCTAAATTACCAAATAAAAGTGATTTCCTATATTTAAACTTCTGTCATTTGAGAATAAATGCAAAATAAAGCTCTTCAAAGTAGTAAGGTGCAGAAAAAAATGTGAAGTTTACTAAATGAAGGTGCCTACCCACTTCCTTTCTCCTTTAAAGAGAACTCTATAATGCCTCCCCTCCTTCTCCATAGACTGCTAACTATGGATGTAACTAGTCAATTTTAAAAGAATGGATTAAGCGATTACTTGTAAGTATATTTTACAAAGAATGCAGCAAGCAGATGAACAGTATTTCATTTTGAAGACTTTCACAAAAGTTCTTATTAAACTCTTAGAAATCCAGTATATTCATCCAATGTAGCATCACAAAAGCAAGGAAATTCTTCCTTAGATTTAACATAGAGTATTTTAGATACTTAAAGGAAGTCTTTAAACTACAGGTTGCAGTAGGTAAGGCAGATATTGAGGCCAAAAGCAAACAAATAAGGCTAATGAACTGGCTAGTGCTCAGCTTTATTCATATTAAGTAATTTTTTTTTCTTTTTTGACTCGGGGGTCTCACTCTGTTACCCAGGTTGGAGTGCAATGGCATAATGGCTTACAGCAGCTTCGAATTCTTGGGCTCAAGGTGACCCTTCTACCACAGCCTCCTGAGTAGCTAGGACGATAAGCTATATAGTCACACCCAGCCCATATTAAGTAACTCTTATTAAATGTTTTTTGTGATGGCAAAAAAAGACTCTACAAATGTGTAAGGACCTTGAGATTATTCTGCATTATCCAGGTGTGTCTAAACTAATCTCACTGGGTCTTTGAAAGTGAAAACCCTTTCTCAGCTGCAGAAAAGGTGACTACCCTAGAGCTTCCAGAAAGGAATGTATTCCAGCGGACACTTAAGATTTTAGTCCAGTGAGACCCATGTCCGACTTCTGACCTACAAAACTACAAGATAATAAATTTGTGTTCAACCTCTCAATTTTGTAGACTATAAGCCCATGATTCAAACAAATTTTTATAAAAAATGCTTTTAAAAATGATTCCTGACACGTGGCCCAATTTTCAATTATTCTAAAAGTAAAGACAATCTGCTTCCAATCAAATTTTAAGTCAGATTTTTCCCCTCTATAACTTCTAAAACATCTTACCATGAAAATGGTCTATATCATTTTATATAAACCAAGATGCCATCAATTTTAAGACACACTGATATTTGTGCCATTAAAAAAGAGAAAACACTGCTAATCAAAGTTGGAAGACCTCATCCAATGTAAGACACAAGCCAGCTTCAGAGATACTACACTAGAAAATGTGGGACATTTTAAAAATAGTTTTTATAGAACTGATATATACATATGTGTATCTACAGAGATAGATACATTACCTAAAACTTCTTTGGATATAAAGTGTACAAAAGAACATCTATACCAGATTCAAATGTTTTTTATTAATCTCCCAAGCCCACTCAAGTTTAACAGTGATTTCAGGAAATACAATATTAGTCTTGTAAAGATACAGAGGTAAGAGTGCCATCTACTGAACAATTTGCATAGCTTTCTTGATTCCAATGATATTCTTCTGCCACTCTCACATAAACTTATTACCTACTCTCAACAATGGCATTTTGCCAGAGTGGGACCTCATCAACATGCAAATTTCCCACAGAGGCTAATCAAATTCTTCAAGTACTTCATCATTCTCATCATCCAAAAAGTCAACTCTGATGATCTGTGCTAATAATTTATGCTTCAAAAACTAAGGAATATATGTAATTTCTATTTAGTTACTGGCTGTCTTTTGTATTAAATATATTTTCAGGAATACAATAACAGTTTGCAATCCTCAGTCCTTCAGACTCTGAACACTTCTATACTAGAATTCTGCTTTTCAAGTTTCAATCTAGGGTTAACTAGTATAAAAAAAGAGAATATAAAGATATGATATAAAGGAAAGGGATACTTAACCTTACAACTCTACAACAAATGAAACAGTACAAGTTAAATATAACTCCAGCAGAATTAGATGATCCTTCAAATCTGAAATCTGGATATGGAAACTTGCATTTATTGCTATTTCCCTTAAATGCTTTACATTTTAGAAAAGGCTCACGAAATATTTCCCCAAAACAGGATATAAGCATAGGAACAGAAAAGAGAAGGAAAAGATAAGAGAAAGGAAACAAAATGACAAATAAATAAAGATCAGGTCACTGATTTTTAAGATTCAAGTCCAAATGTAGAAAAAGAGAACAACTCCAAAGCTGAAGAAGAATAAGTGAGAATTTAGGATTAGAGAATTATTACTATCACTACTCCACTGGCACCTTACTACCTGGGTTAAATAAAATCCTCAGTGAAATACATTTTAGAAAAATATTCATTTATAAAATGTTAAATGGGTCTGGCTTTTAAAGTTCTCATTTTAATAAATGTTATTATTTAAAATAATTTCAGATGTGAGATTGTTAATATATTCAAATATGTCACAACGTGAGTCAATAAAGTATATTTTAAAAGAGTATAGATTTGCTATATGCAATCTTGGCACAGTAATTAGCATATCTTTAACTTTTCATAGAGAGTAAACAAAAGTGATTCCTGGCATTCCCATCCTACTAGGTTTTTATTGGCAAATGTATAATATTGTGCTAAGGAAATACCTGGAAAACAAGTTTCATATTTATTTATTCTAAATATTTACAGTAAAAATGATTAACTACCAACTTAAAAACATGCTTCATTTCATTACATAACTGCCTGGAAATGTTATACTTCCACTGTCACTAACATGACATTAGTTATGCCATCACTACTATTAAGACATGTATCTGAGAACTATCTTCCACCCTCAAAGCCAAGATAAAGTGATGAACCAATTATAAGCAAAATGTGGTGAAACACCTAAACTATAATTACTACTAAAAAGAAGGTTTTTTTACCATAACCGGAGGTGTAATTAGGGCCCCGACGACCTCTGCCTCTTCCACTATAAGACCTAGAACCTTGTACAGAAGAGACGGTACTTTCATCAGTGGCATATCCTTTCTCTTTTTCAGGCCCTCTGGTGGAAGAAGGTCTGAAACCCATACCAATCTGTCGTAGCTGTTCATCAATCTGTAGACGTTCCATTCTTAGTTGTTCTACTTCCTACAATTAAAACAAAACAAGACAAAAGGGTAAGTTTTCTTACATGTGACTCTTTGTCTTCTTAAAGCCTAGAGAGCTAGAGCTACTCTCCATACCAAAGCTGTAACCTTTGGCAATAATTTGCTAAAGCAGCACTATGTTCCTAGTAAACACAATTTACAAGGTCATTGGCTGATTCAATTCAACAAAGGCTTACTGAATGCCTTAGAGTGTGCCAATCATGCTGCTATAGGCATACAATAGACATAGACTCTCCCTAGTCAAGGGGTTGACAGCTTTAAAATAAGTTACTTATTAAATAACTATTAATTACACAATACTATAGGACCAGATTTTGCTCTCAGGAGCTAAAATTTCTGCTAAATGAAGTACAGGTATCACCTATAAAGGGTACTACTAACAAAGTACTTTCCTACCAAAGCAGTGAGTGACATCTGAATTGGACCTAGATGGACTAGTAGATTTGGTCACTCAGAAACTGAGGTCATTATAGGATGCGAAGGTAAGGTGTCTAGAAAAAACTCTGGGCTAAAAGGCAAGTACTCAAAGACAAAGCATCAGCTTAGAATGCTACTTTGAATTGAGACTTATCATGTAAAGATGAATTGCAAAAGAAAAGGGATGACATTACCAGGGGTGCTGTCAAAAGAATTAACACAGCAGTAAGGATATGAAACAGTGGGAGAAAAACCTATCAGAGGCAGACAACAGCTGAGGGTATTACTATACTCTAAAGAGAAACACAGTAGAAATAAACAGGAAGAGTAGAAAATATCGATTGTAATATTTAGTAAATCATGGGGTGTTTCTTCTTCTGAAACCCTTGCTCTTCGAGTATAAAGTTAGATAAGATTTTTGGTAACAATGGTTAAGAATTATCAAATGATGTCTATGTGGATAATGTAGCTGATTTAGACAATAACCCAAGATACAAAAGAAGCCCCGTTATTACTCCTGGTTCTGTACGCCATTTGTATGTACAATACAAAAGAAAAAGATGGCTCCAATATAAACTATGCAGACACTAAGGGATGAGAGTCAAATGACACGAACACAAAAAGGGACGATTTCTTACATAAGGAAAGATATAAAAGCTCAAAAAAAGAAGACAATGCACGAGGCTAATCATTTTATGGAAAAGGACTTTTTAGTTTTTAAATCTCCTGTAGGAAAACATCAAATCAGAAGCTATGTTAATAAAAGTATTTAAAGATTTCAAGTCTATTTCAAACAAATATAAAATGTTTGATGTGTGAACATTTTATATAAGTCTGTAGTTAATGTTCAACATTTATGTAGTCAATGTATTAGGTTTGTAATGTTTGCTTCCGGCATGTCGACACCGCGGTGTTGGGAGTTTGCTTGTCATTTAAAGTGACAAAGTTGTGCTTGTAAACACGCCTTGCATTTTGCAGATTTGAAGAAAATTAATGCTATTTGTGGGTTAAAGAAGATGCATTGTCAAGCGGAAAAAACAAGCACTTCTGACATGTTCTTATGTTTGAGTTTAACAGACAAGTAAAGGCAGTGGAGGTGGCCCACATCATTTGTACAGGGAGAATGCCATCGGGGAAAGCACAGCAAGAAAATGGTTTTGGTGTTTCAAAGAGGGTCACTTTGACCTGAGTGATTCTCCACATTCAGGAAGATCATCGGGCTTTGATGAAGAGCATTTAAATGCTTTAATCTACAATGATCTACATCAATCAACCTAAGAATTGGCAAATGTGATGAACTATGACCAGTCAACCATCATGTGAAGTTCGTATTCCATGGGCAAGCAGAAAAACTCTACAAACGTATGAATCAAGCCAACAGCAACAATGATATCAAAATGCAAGGTGAACCATATACAAACCTTCAGGTACGCAATATGATACTCTAAAAGAACTTGCACATTTCCGATGCTTTCTTTAGTGCCAACAAATACAAATGGAACCATCCCCTGTAAGAAACACAACAGCCTCAGTGTTTTAAAGTTCAAGCCTGAATTTGACATGCCAATATATAATTTGGAAACCTTTCTAAAACACAAAGCAATTTATACATGTTAAGCTTCAAGGTTTAAAAGTTAAAAATCAATATAACTCAAAATACTCAGACTTAAACAACTTGTCATTATTCTAGTAACTTGTCACTACAAGTTTAAGTATGCTAAAAGCTTTAATTAAATGACTTAAAATATTATGTGTCTACTCTATACAATCCATAGTCCTAGGGGAGAATGGAGAATATGAATATTCAGATTCGACTTCTTGATTTCAAGGAGTTCACAATGTGGTTTGGAGACACAGATAAACCAGAAATCAAATTAAAGCCTGAAAGAAAATCATTAAATACTCAATCGTACAGAAAATAATTGCTATAGTATACAGGGTGGGAAAGGTTAATTCAGGCTAGGGGTGGGTCACCAAAGGCTTGAGGGTTAACAAGTTATAAACTGAGTCTTCAGCTTAAATTGTGAAATGGTGGCACCCAATAGGACAATATCAACCTCCAGATCTGTTTTGGCATGCGGTGCTCTCAAACTGAAAATCTCTGTATTATTTGCTTCACTTAAATAGTATCAATACATAAGGCATGCGTTCCCTTATAGAAAGATACTGTCCTGTCCACCCCTATTGTATACATTTCAACTTGCTTAATCATTTACATTAATTAGTCTCTGCAAGCATTTGCTTCTCTTAACTCTGGCATAGAAATGACAGTAACAATGGTCAAAACTACAAACACAAAAAAGTACTACGGTAAGTTTTTATTTATAAAGAATCTAGAAGAATAAGCTTACCACCAAAAAATGGTATATACTACAAAGCAACTAGGAATTAGTCAAGCTGAGGGAAAACTAAATATTACTACCAAGCTTAGAAATCCATAGCTGAGCAATTTAATGGCCCAATAAGCATCATGGTCCTCACCGCTTCTTTTTTTCTTTCAAGTTGGGGTCTTACTCTGTTGCCCCTGCTGGAGTTCAGTGGCATGATCAAGGCTCAGGTGATCCTTGCGCTCCAGTCTCCCAAGTAGCTGGGACTACAGGTACATGCCACAACACTCAGATAACTTTTTTGATCTTTTGTAGAGATGTTGCCTAGGTTGGTCTCAAACTCCTGAGCTCAAATAAACCTCCTGCCTTGACTTTCCAAAGTGCTGGGATTATAGGCATGAGCCACCGTGCCCAGCCACCCTTTTATATATTTGTATAATACAAAAGGTGCCTGCCAGCTGCAATGGTATGATGCTATCAGTTTTAATCCTTATCTCAAGGTATCTCAAAACCATGCAAAAACGGAGAGGTGGAGATGCTCACAAATTAAGTAAAATTATGTGAGCTTATGACACTTTTTACCGCAGTGTACGATGAAATCACTGAAGACAGTATTCTATGTATTCATTTGTATGATACTTAGACATTTCTTTTTCCTCATTTAAGTGTATATTCACTTTCACATCCAAACTTATTAAAAGGAATAAAGAAAGTGGCTATTTTTAATTGACATCTTTATAACAACCAATACTTGGTGTCAGGATATCTATCTGACCTGAATGTATACACAGCTTTCCTTTACTCTTTTTTAAAAGACGAATCCTATCCAATAGGTTAATGAATTCCCCCAAGCAGTTCTCTACTGTGCAAAACTGAAGAAGCTGAGTATTGCTTTCTAGGAGATAATTTTGGGGAAAATTTTTTGCCTTACATTCAGCCACACAAAGCTTAAGTCAATTGTAAAAGCTGACAACTGAAGCCACAAAAAAAAAAAGAAAAAGAAAATTTAACAAAAAGAAGCCACAAATGTGAGATCTTTAAAGTGATATACAAGGAGTAAAGCACAAGAATAGAGACAAAACATCAACATGTGAGAAGAGATTGAAAAAGAAATTTCAGAAAATTGGAATTCCAATTAATACCAACATAAAAGTCTAAGGTAATTCAATTAAGAAATGGTCAATACTTTCAGATTCTACAAAACAGTCAAGGAGTATGAGCAAAAATTCCTTTGTAACAGATTGTTTACCGTTTTTGGACAAAAACTGCTGAACACTCAGCCCAGTGTGGGCGGGTGCATTGTCATGGTGAAAGAATCAGTCTACCTGTTTGCCACAACTCAGACTCCCCCCC